GTCGTGGCAGGCGGCCATCGACGCGGCCCGGCAGGCCAAGCTGATGGGCAGCGCGGGCAACGCCACCATCTCCACGGTCAGCTCCACGCAGCGGAAACGGCAGCAATACGGGAAACCCAAGAAGCAGGGCAGCACTGCAGCCACACGCCCGCCCCGGGCCCTGCTCTGCCTGACCCTGAAGAATCCCATCCGGAGGGCGTGCATCAGCATCGTGGAATGGAAATATCCTTTGTGCTCTGGGCTGGGCGGGGTACTCCAGGCCCCTTCCCCCCTGGGGGCCAGTCCTCCAAGGCTTACCTCGAAGCGGGCGGTGTCCCCCTTGCTGAACTACAAATGGGTCCTCACATCGACTGCCTCTCCCTCTCTGGTGTGCAGTGAAATGTAGAGTTCTAGGCCCTGTCCTAGACTCAAAGCATCGGAATCTCTGGGAATGGGGCTCAGCCATCTGTTTGTATAACGAACGTCCCAGGTTTCTTTCTTTCTTTTTTTCCCATGTAATAAGCAACATTTGGGAAAACGAGCCTGAGAAATTAGGAAATACCATCTCACGTCGCTGAGCTGGCCTAGGGACCTGTTCTTGGGTTAATAATTATGATGTGCTACTTTGTGGCCTCTCTCCCTCCTGTGTCATGGTGCTGGGATAGTTTCATGGCCTTACCTCTCCTTAGAGAGAAGCAGCTCAGGAGAGGCATAAGGGCAGCAGTCAGTGATCCCGGTTCTTGGTTCAAGGACCTGGGAGCGATGGTTCTTGGCCTTGGCTACGCCTTAGAATCACCTGGAAAGTTTTAGCAAACTACAGGTGCCTGAGTTCTGCTCAGGCTGTTAAAAGAAATTCCCTAGGCGATTCTAATGTGCAGCCAAAGTTGTGAACCCTGGGCTGGCGTGTAAAGCACAGCTCTACTTTGCACCTGCAGAAACCAGTGAAGGGGTCCTTCAGAGCTGTGACTTTGAAGACTGGGCTTTCGTGGTGGGGTTACAAGCCCCTTAACATCATCAGAATCATGGGGTGGTAGAAATTGGAAAGGACCTTGAAGTTCTCTAGAACCTACCCGACTTCCACCGCTGATGAAACTGAGCTCCCCAGGAGAGGCTCTCCAGGGTCATGTGGTCAGTAGCAGATGGAGCTAGAACCCTGGTACTGACTGTTGGGCATTGTTATCATAAAGATGCATCCAGGCGGGGCCACTGTGTCTCTCAAGGTTCAGCATGGGAGTGTTAGGTTTCATTTTTCATGGAAAGATTTAAAATAAGTCTTGGATACTGCTTGAGAAGGGATGACCTAGAGATAAAAGAAAGTTTCTGTTTAGCAAGAAATGTTAGTTCTATAAATGTTTGAGCCCTCGCAACTTAAAAGTAGTTTTTAAGAAAATGCAGTTTAAAACAAGTGGCTGCTGCCACCTAGCCAGTTCTGAGTGGCCGAGCCTAGTTTTGGTCCCCGGGGTACTACGTGGGAGGCTTGGCTTTGGATAGCTCCATCAGGTTGCTTGTTTAGCTGCTTACGGCAGGATCGAGGAGTGGGAGAGGTGGGTGGACCCTGAAGGTGAGGCACCCCTGGGAAAAAGGGTAGTGAGGCCTGGAGAAGCCAAAGAACTTGCCCTAAATCACACAGCTGGCAACGGTCAAAGCTGGGTTTCAAATCCATGTTCCCCTGAACCCCAAACCCAAGGGACTTCCCAGGTACTGGATACAGGTACTAGGTAGGAGTAGACAGGTGCCAGGGTGGATTCCAGGGGATGCAGGCCAGGTGCTCTGGAACACACAGGACCTGGATCTGGGTCTGCCTGGGAACTCCTTGGGGGAATATGCCTTCCCCCACTGCAGGAGGGGACGTGGGCCCAGCCTCAGCAGTGCTAGGTGGGTGGCATCCCTAGTTTGCTTAGGAAGGGTGGCTGGGTGGGCAAGGAGATAGCCCAGTGTACCAGCTGGCCGCTGCTTGAAAAAGTGAAACCTGATGCTGTCCTTAAGAAAAGAAGGCCGTTTAAAAAATGATCGGGGCCTCACAGGGTGACACAGAGCTTACCTGGGCTCTCTGCTTTTCAGCTGATGGCTTTTATTATTTGCCTGGTTGGTTTTCTTCCACATTTTCTTTTCCGGTGATAGCTGGATGGAGGATGGATAGCCTGAGTGGGAGAGGAGGGTAACCGATAGCAGGGGAACACCCCAAGCTTAGCCGTTGCCCCGCTGGAGTGGAGGTAGTGAGATGACATTTGTTGAGCGGATGTGTGTGAGGTGGGAAGAGCACAGGGTGCCAGCCGATGGCACTGCAACTGACCAGCTTCTGGCCTGAGCGTCCCTTTCCTGAGCAGGTGGGAAAGATTTGGAGGGAAGAGGTGATGCTGAAGGTGAGCTAAAGAACTGGCTTCCCAGAGTGCTTTGGGTGACGCTAGGGTGGGTCAGTCTAGAGCAGTCCTTACAGCCTGAGGCCCTGGAGCCAAACTGCCTGGGTCTGGCTCTCATTCCATCACCGTGACCTTGCACAAGTTCACGTCTGACCTTTCTGTGCCTCGTTTCCTCATTTAGAAGTGGGGATGATAGTTGCACATTCCTCGCAAGGAGTTTGTGAGGAGCAGTGAGAACATGGCTGGCACTGAGCAGACGCAGCAGATGTGAGCTGTCTCCTCACAGTCACCATCGCCAGGGCCAGCATCAGCCTCCCATCGTCACCACGTGCGTCTTGTCCCGTTCAAGGGCAGCGGCATGTAACAGCTTAGTTAGCTGGCCTGGGTTCTGGTCCTGGCTCTGCTCTTGGCCAGCCTGGGTCCTGGGACAGGTTGTTTTACCTTTCCCATCTGTAGAGTCGGGAGGTTGACAGGTCCACTGTGTGCCAGCTTTTGGATATCAAAGTGTACATAGAAAATGCCATCGTGGTAGGACTACTGGTAGACAGATGCTCAGGGGGTACCCATCGGGCCAGGTGGATCAGTTACTAGGCTGTCACTTGGGTTCCTCTTGGTTCCAGAATTCTGTGACACTGATCCCAGGGCTGCCTGTGAGCACAGGTCAGAAGGCCATCTGTGGTAGGGAAACGAATGCTGGACTTGGTGGTTGGGAAATCTGGGTTCTAGTCCTGGCTGGTCATTAGCCCATTGTGAGGCCTTGGGAAAGTTTCTCAGGCTCTCTGAGCCTCAGAAGGGCTGAACTAGATGGTCTCTAAGGTCTCTTCCTGCTTCAGAATTTGTTAACTTTGTAAGCACGGATTTCCCAGGGAGAATTAAGTCGGTCCCTCCACCCAGGAATTCTGTCCCATCCTGTTAGACTCTATGCATGGGACTGGAAATTTGGCAGTGGGGGGTGGGGAGGGTGGGAGTACTTCTGGGGGAGCATACATTGGGCCCTTCCTGTGATGCTTCCTGTTTCTGGCCTTCACTTGTGGGCGTGGGGTGGGTCTGGTTGGAAGGGGTATTCCCACATTAGCTCATTTTTCCCTTGGGAGTATATCCTTCCCTGATAATTTGATGAGGAAATTGGGGCACAGAAACCTCTGAGCACACTGCTACTGGTGAGCGAACCCTGGGGTGCCCAACTAGAGCCCGGTACACCGCAGTGGAGCAGTCGGGGCCGGGGAGGCCCACTGAAGACAGGGCCTCTGTAGACCAAAGGGGTTTTGCGTGTTTTGTGTGAGATGAGGAGACCGTTATCTTTCTTTAGACATAATACACATCCTGCCATTCCAGGGGTCTTCGGGTTCTTTGGAAGCTGTCAGAGAATGAGGGCGAAGGAATAAAACCCACTCTTAACTTCAGTTTAAAAGATTAATGGTAAAATCTTGGCCGGGTACAGCGGCTCACGCCTGTGATCCCGACACACTTTGGGAGGCCGAAGCAGCAGGATTGCTTGAGCCCACAAGTCTGAGACCAGCCTAGGCAACATAGCGAAACCTCATGTCTACAAAAAAAATTAGTGGGGTGTGGTAGCACGCGCCTGCAGTCCCAGTTACTAGGGAGGCTGAGGTGGAAGGATCGCCTGAGTCCAGGAGGTCAAGGCTGCCATGAGACGTGATCATGCCACTGTATTCCAGCCTGGGTGACAGAGTGAGACCCCATCTCAAAAAAAAATCCCTGAGACCTCAAAACTCAAGAATTCAACGAAAGTCATGAAAAACTGCTCTGTCTTAGAATTCCATTCCACCCATCTCCGTCATCCCAGGTGGGCTTGGGCCCCTGGGTGGCAGCCATGGGGCCCAGGGGGTCTGGAGGAGGCCCTCCTTTTTAGAAGCCACCCCAAGCACACACACGAGGGAGAATGAAGTCAAACGCAATCTAAATAAATACAAGAAGGAGAAAAAAGGTTTTAGAAATCTGTGTTTACTCTGGCACGCGACTGGCCTCCACTGCTTTTGACATATTAGGGAAAATTTTGGCGGGGACCTACTAGAAGCACTTAAAAAGGCATATGTTTCTTTTCAGAATACAAGGGGCTTGGAATGTATTGTTTAAACAAAATTCTTTTGAATCTTTGATTCATTTAAAAAAAAAAGTACATAGATGTATGTTTGTTTCGTTTGTGCGCTCCGTGGCATTAATTTCCTTAACTCTCTTCCTCAGACCATTTGAAATAATTATTTTACTGACTATTTTTGCCAATTGTGTGGCCTTAGCGATCTATATTCCCTTTCCAGAAGATGATTCCAACGCCACAAATTCCAACCTGGTAAGTCCGGCATCCTCAAGTCGCCGCTTTTCTTCCTCGGTGGGGATCTCAGCTTGGACCACATGGCTTCATGGAATGTGGGAGAGATATGGGGCGTGTGTTTGGCCCCGCACAGTTCAATCCAGTGCTATTTTTCTCTTTATTTAAATCAGCACCTGTCTTGTCACAGCCTGTTTTCTGAAAGAATATGCCAGTTTGGTTGGTGGTGAGCTCGGGTGTGAGTGTGTGTGTGTTTTGAGTAGCAAACCCTATGAGTGTTACCAAATGTGCTGCAGAAGTCGCGCGTGCCGGTGACTGCTGCAGCCAACGTTTATTCTTGGATCGTGCGTTGTGTTGATTTTCAATGCCCTTGTCCTGTCGGTGGGGTTTGCTCGGGTGATCTGGAGCTTCACTGCACGATCGATAATTTCTAGGAAGCTTTTAGGAATGTTTGCTTTTGCGGCCAAGATGTATTATTGAGTTAAAAAGGCTTGATTTTCTTGGGAAAGGCGGCTTTCCACTTGGATTGTTGAGAGGCCAGCGCTGGCAATTTGGGGTTAGAATGTGTCCATGGAAAAAGTAGAGAGTGTGTTTACTTTGGGCTGAGCGTGAAGTCATTACAAAGGCCTTCGCTCCGTCTGGGCATGTAAGGAAAGAGGTCTGGAATGTAGCTGGCAAAATTGGGGCACTCTGGGATGCCTCCGCGACAGGCACGTAGGAAAATCCCGTCTCTCTCTCTCTCTTTCTCTCTCTCTCTCTCTGTGCAGAGACACCATTACTTTTGATGTGATTTCCACAAGGCGGGTTGGGTCCCCAAAGCCACCATGTCCCCCTCCCCACTGCTGTCAACACCATCCTCTCATGAGTGAGATGGGAAGAAGAGATTGTTTTTAAAAGAAGCAGGAGGCTTCTGGTGTTCTCCTTTCCCCTGTTGCCAGCCGCTGATGCCATCATGGGATAGTTCTTCTGTTTTGTAACCTCTGACACTTCCTTTGGCCCTTTCAGCAGATAAATCTGGTGCAAGTTTTCAACTTCCCTGCCATTTCCCTGGTTTTTACAAATAACTGCCTGTGGTACCTTTATTCTTAGTGCGCAAAGGGTTCTGCACGTACAGGGCTGCTACGTCTTGTGACTCAACTTGGGTCCTCGAGTTAAGGACAAGTTCCAAAGATTTTAAAGGTGGACAGTAAGTGCTGAGGGATGATATGGCCAGAATCGGTGGGCAGAGTGTCAGCTGCCATCCACGAGGCCATCTAGCCTTATTTCTTAAGGGGCAAGAAGTCTTCATTGTGTTCCAATAAATGCACACAAAAGTATCTCTCCAACGCAGGAGATCCTTCCATTGGTTCTGTTTCTTCTGTGTGGCTATTTCCCTCCCCTACCATGGTCCACTCCATCCCCCTGCAGTTTTGTTTATTTGCTTTTTTGAGTTGGGGTCTTACTCTGTTGCCCAGCCTGGAGTGCGGTGGCACGGTCATGGTTTACAACAGCCTCAACCTCCTGGACTTAGGCAACCCTCCCATCTCAACCTCCCGAGTAGCTGTGACTACAGTCACTTGCCAACCTGTCTGGCTAGTTTTTTGATTTTGTGTAGAGACGCAGTCTCGCCTCGCCATGTTACCCAGGCTAGTCTTGAACTCCTGGGTTCAAGCAATCCTCCCACCTTGACCTCACAGAGTGCTGGGCTTACGGGTGTGATCTGCCCTCCCCCACCCTCTGCAGCTTGTCACCTCCTCTGAAACGTTTAAAAAGGAGCTCTGTTTACAAATAGTCTCCATGTCTTGTTCTTTAGTTTGTGAAGCTTTGGGCTACTCTGGGCCCAAGCAGTGGTGATGAAAGTGGGCAGAGGAGGTTGGTTTAGCTTAGGCCCCAGAGATGGTCACATACCAGCCCCC